CCTATCAGGATGTCGGTTTGTGGCCAAAATCATTTAACTGATCAATCAAATTGAAAAATACTTTTGTTATTAAAGATGGTTTTAACTCCATCCATCCATCCATCCATCATATGCTGCTTCTTCTATCAGGGTCACAGTGGGACCAGTGCCTGTCTCCAGCCAGACTTTCGCAAGGCAACACAGAGACACACAAACATGCATCACACTCACACTTATAAACAGTTTGGAGAAGCCAGTTAACCTAACAGTCATGCTTTTTAGACGGTGGGTGGAAGCCAGAGTACCTGGAGAGAATGCATGCATACACAAGGAAAACATGCAAACTCCATGAAGGAAGATCCTGAGCCGGGAATCAAACCCAGGACCTTCTTGCTGCAAGGAAAAAGTGCTACAAGCTACTTGTAACTAATAGTCTTTTACACGTTGTAGATATCGATAGCTGTAGGCAGGAAGGATCTAGACGTCTGTCTTGCAGTGCATCTGGAAAAGGATATTCAGGGTTAATATTGTTCTTAATTTAGCAAAGAACTAATCTTTGTGAAATCAGCTTAAGATGTTCTAGAAGAGATTCTTCCTTATCAGCTTGTAGGGCTTTTTAAAATAATTTGCTATGATGCTGTCACCCCAGCAGTTGATGGCAGAAGAAATCACACTCTTCACAACAGACAGCGGAGTATCTTGGAGTATCTTTTTACAAACACTGAAGGACTTAAGGTTCCTCAAAGGGTACAGTCCTCTCTGGCCCCTCATTTAGACAGCTTCAAAAGTTGTATCTCCAGTCGAATCAGGTGAACACTCAGGTATCTGTACTCTTCCACCACCTCTACTTCTTCTCCAGTGATGGGGTTTGGCTTTTTTCTGTTTCTTCTGAAATCTGCAGCCATCTCACTTGTTTTGTTCCTCTTCAGGATAAGATTATTGTTTCAAAACCATCCCCATCTGATGCACCCCAGGACTGCAACATCATCTTAGAATTTCTGCAAATGACACGACTTTGTCCTACACTGGAATTTGAAATAAAAAGACTCTACTTTTAAAGTAAATGCTCATAGACAAAAAACAGGCATTGGCTTTTCTTACTTCCTGCAGCAGTTATTTGTGCTGCAGTGCTCACACTAGCTGGTGCATAAACATGAATAGGTAAAGATTTGTTTTTTGTTTTTTCCTACCCTAATAAAGTGATGCAGCTTAAAGAAATAAAAAAGATGCATGAATCACTTATTTAAATTAGAAAGCAGAATTTGAATATCCATGTTTCTAGGACTTTGATAAGCACAAATTTTTCGTAAGCTAGAAATTATAAATTATATTCCTTAATAATGTAAAAACAGCATATAGTTAAAATGCTATTATAATGATCTGTTTCATAAAACTTGCCATATGTTCCTGAGGCATCATATGAAGCCACAGAGGGATGTTTTCAAATTAGTAAAAGCCAACTTGCGAAGACTGTAGCTACAGCGGTTAGTTTGAAAACAATTAAACACAGAAATGTGTCTTACTAGCTTAAAGTGCCTTTACTTACAGCCATACATCCCTCTTTGATTAAATCCCATTAAAAAGTATTTGTTGCTCTACAGATATATTTTCTGTTTTAGTCACATTAAGATGTTTGGGCTCTCATAACATCTTAGTGTGATATCAGACAAGAATTGCTTGAATAATTGAATAATACCACCTAATCTAAACAGGACTTAATGGACAAAACCTAAGAGAAAAATAGAGAAATAATCTTTAAATAAAATCAGCAGAGGTAAAAGCTTGTCAAAGCATCACATAGGAGGAGCCACAATTAATTAGTGATGTCTGGGCTTCAGGCTAGACATCACTAATCTGCATGTAATTCTAAACAAAGCCTTAAAAAAATAAATATATTATTTCTGCTTTTGAAAGTGTGTATAATTACATTTATTTTGCTGATAAACAGGCCCTACGTATTAGATTTATAATTTGTCAACCGTCACTCTGTTTTGGTTGTGAATAACAACAGCCCAAATTGGATTAAAGCAGACATTCATTATGGGAGACTAATATGAATAGAGTGTTTTGGCAAACAGACCAACACAAATTGTGTCCGTCAATTCTAATTCAGAACATCTTTTGAATGAAAATGCATCTAGTCTGACTTAACTTGCATTGATTATTATCATCATTTGGTTAACCATGTTTTTGTCTGCTTGGTCTCCGAGCTGAACTCTACTCGTACGACTGGGTCAAACATTTTAGGCATTCTCCGCAGAGCTTCTGTACCTCTACACTTTTCTCAAGCACAATTTTCTTCTTTATATATGAGCCATAATGCAACCAGCCTCTGAAGTGGAATGAAATCCACACATCTCCTCTGCATTTGGATAACATTTTTTCTAAATGCTAAATCAAAAGTACTTTTTTGATCCCAAACTTAGATGTTGTAAATTTTATTGGCATTTCTTCAACAAGTTGTAGATGTCAATAGCTGTAGGCAGGATCTCCTGTAACGGTCTGCCTTACAGCAGCTCTGGATATCCTTCTGAGTGGAAACATTGCTGTATGACAGATGTCTGATGTAGGTTTTTCCATAATATTGCTAACATAAAGATATTCAGCAACCCTCTGCAGCAGTAAAGTCTGCTCTTTCCCTTCTTGCAGATGGCTCCACAGCTGTATCTCCATGCAGACCAGTCTGTTGTCCAGGTGAACTCCGAGGTATTAATACTCCACCACCTCCATTTCTCTCCTATTATGGTTATAATGTTTGACTTGTTTCTGTTTCCCCAGAAAATCTTTTTCTTTCTTTCTGTACTCAGCTTCTTGATCATCTCTAATACACATCGCTTGAAGCTGAGTCCAACACTACTCCAGAATAAAATAATTTGTCCTCTTTATAGCCAGAGAAAACTACAAAGTTTTACTTCTTTTTTTTTTTTTTTCAAATAAACCTACTATGATTACTACAATTAGTAATAATTTCTTAACTATGGTTTGGGATACGGCCACATCTCCAACCCACCTCTCATTATCCCCATACATTCTTTACCTTCCTATAAATCATTTTCAACCCACTCATTCACTGTTTTATCCCTGATTAAGAGCCTTTTCATACCACTCTTCGCCATTAATCCCATCTTTGATTATTTTAGTTTTCCTCCTCCTCCTCTTCTAAACCATTATGCATACATCCTTTTTCCATATTTATAACCCTTTCCCTCATTCTCTTCCTCCAACTTTTATCCTCCTTCTCGTTATCTACAATTTCTTCTTAAAATTCATCCTCCTCATCGCTCTGTCCCTGATCTTCCTGACCATTTTTTTATTGGCTTGTCTCATTATTCTCCTTCTCATCTCTATTTATGATCCATTCTTAAACTCATCCTGCTTCTCTGTCTCAATAAAACCTTTTTATCTCAGGTTGTGATTTTAGATCTAGTAAATGCCTGTCTTGGTAGCCTCTGAATGATCTTTAACCCTAAAGGCGTTTAAGTTTCATCCTATTGTTGCTTTTGAATATAAATCTGCATATTAGCACCAAATCCCACAGCATAAGGGCATCCATACTGTGCTTCTGTGCACATGGTGTGCTTTTTTTCCTCACCACAGAGCTTTATTTTACACCTAAATGAAAAAGAGCTGGTTTGTATCTGGAGGTTTTGCAAACTTGTCTCATGCATATTATTTTCAGTTCCACTATTACCCTGTGTCCTATTGTGCAGCATATATATATCATGTTCAAGTGCCAGCTTCAAACAGTACAAGATCAGCCAGAGACTATGCAAATGTTTGTTTAGCTGTTTGCAAAAAAAAAAAAAAAAAAAAAAAAAAGAACTTGCCTCCTTTACAGCAGTGCCACATGTTTGGTGTAAAACTGCAGTTTTATGACTGTAAAAATCTTTTATATTACCAACCACTGAGATGGAAACCATAAAGATTTCCCCCCCCCGACATATTACTGTGTCATTTTTAATAGTGGAACAGTTCATCTTCTCCATTTATTTTGGTGATATCTTTTTTAATTTTTATTGCGTTTTTCCTTTTTTTTGTCTTCTTCTTCCACTCTTTGGGCTGCTCTCCTCAGAGGTCGCCACAGCAGGTCACCTGCCTCCATCTCCACTGCCAGTGTTTAATTGCAATGTACCTTAAGATGACATGTTTTCTGAATTGGCACTATATAAATAAACTTCAATTAAATTATAAACTATAATTTAATTATAAACTGATTTACTTTAAAACAGAAAAGCTGCTCTCTTGTCGTGACATTTCCAACAGAAATTTTATGTGTTTTGAAACAGCCCAACAATCATCCATTGATCCCTTGATACTGTAATAAAGCATCAACAAATCTAATAGGAGAAGATCCATACATGAATTGATGGTAATGTAGCTACAATGTAAGTGGTGCAACTATGATAATAATAATTCATAATAATAGTAAATCATGTAATCAGATCATTTGAAATTGACTTTAAAAACATGCAAACATTAGACAGTTTCGTGCGTGGTAAAACTGGAAAAACCCTCGTTGAATATTTATATCCTGGTTATTTCTCAGTAATCTTGGCAGAAATATTGCCATGAGCAAAACATACAAACTAATCTGGTGACGCTCCGGAAAAAATGGCATGCACACATGAAAGCCTGGTGTAAAACGACCGCAGGGCAGGGAGCATAATCCATGATAATAGGAGACTTGTTTTGGGTTTAGTCTCTTAGAAACGCGTTTCAAACTATCACTTCATTAAAGCGTTTATGTATTGGCTGTAAATTAAGAATCATCCATTGACCTTTCTGGTCGTTAAATAACACACCAAGACTGTTTTAATGCTGCTGACTTTTATCAAAGCGCATCCGAGTTACTCCGACTCTCAGTTTAGGAGGAGTTTGCAACTCCTGTTGCTCTGTGAGAGTTTTACCAAAAACGCCTTGCCCACGAAGAGATACGGCCGATCCACATTTCCAGGGGATCCGCTGGTGATTTTCTGTCGTGCAAAGTCCAGTCTCGTGGCCAAGTGAACTCTTTCTGGGAAATGAGCCAAACCGGTCGACAGTTATCCTGCAGCTCAGTTTGGCCCCGGGTTAAGAAAATAAAGGCAAGCGACGCAGGGAACGGTGTCGGAATGGCGCAAAGAAGCGGAGAAAGCTGCGCAGGAAGCGGCAGGTTTGAGGAATCCGATAATAACGCCAGGAGCTGCGGCTCTATGTGCGTTAATCCGCCCGCCCGCGACATGGAGACGCGCTGCTGTCAGACAGCTGCTGCTCCTCAGGAGGAGTTGTTGAACGCTGACAGCCGCTCCTTTTCTGCGTGCGCCACAATCTCAGAGACAGCCAGAGAGCTGTGCAGAGCTGTGTCCGTGTCTTTGGGTCTCGCCATGGAGTCCAGTGACATGAGCGACATGGACGCCGCTCTCCCCCCATGTGCGCCAAATGACCAAATCAGCGGAGAGTATTTCTTCGGGGTGGACGCCGCGGCTCTGAGCTGCCCCAAAGTCCAGAGCCAGATCACTTACAGGTGTCCCGACCGGGATGAGCGACCGCTTCACGGCCACAAACCAGCCGCAAAGATGTTTAAAAGTTCAGAGACGCCTGCGCATTTTCCTCACCTCGCCGGCCGGACGCATGCGAACGCGCAAAACTTCACACCGTGCGAGGCTGATGCTACGGATCACCTGACGGCCAGCCGCACCGTCGCCTGCCCTTACGCCCAAGACCACTTAGCGCAGTACAGCCAGGAGCGGCACGGCAGGTCCGCTTACAACCCGCAGGAAGGAGCGCAGGACTTCGGGGAGGCTGCGGAGAGCGAGCCCGGCGGATATCACCCGGAGCAGTACAGCGTTAAAATCAAGTCAGAGGGAAATGAAGGCTGGGGGTCGTTCTGGGGCGGCGGGTACACCTTTAACAAGAGGTACAACACGCACCTGTGGGGGTCCCGGCAGTGCATGAACGCATACGAGTCTGGAGCGAACGCGGCGTTCATCTGCAGCCCGTACGAGGCGAGCGTGGTGCGTCCGGAGCAGTGGTACCCCGGCGGCATGCTGAAGACCCCCTATCCCAACACCGGGGAAATGAAGAGTCAAGTCGGTGAATGGCTGGATGTAGTCTACAACGACACCAGGTATTATTATCATTATTAATAATAATATTTTTTATTATTATTACATCTTCTGATCTTATTAAAAATTACATTTCTTTTTTAGTTTAAGATTTCTGCTCACTCTAAGTCATAAAGATCTATTAAAAAAATTAAATTAACTATATAGGCCTATTTGAGCTTGCTGACTAGGTGATCCATCAAATCACCCAAAAATGTGTTCTATTTAAGACCACGCGATCTGAGCAGCTGTTTTGGATTGTCAGGATGTAGGAATTAGTGAAATGACAGCTTTGACAAACTGTTCAAGTTATATGCTAAAAAAAAGAAAGAAAGAAGCAAAAACATGATCCAGAGTTTTAGAGTTAACTGAAATAGAAAAAAAAGTATCCTATTCACCATGTCAAAATAATTTGAGCACCTTTGGTGGTCTGTCCTATTGTGAACATTCTCTAGGATGATTAAAATAATGGTTTTAGTAAAAAATTAAAAAAAAATATTTAAATCTGAGTCCACAATAAAAAAAAAGCGCCAGTTGATTTATTCCTAATTGAATGGATCTTATCTATCATATGTCTAATTTAAAACCATGTAGCTTAACCAAGGCTACATGGTTAGGCCACTTCATGTCTGTGACTGACATTAAATGGCCACAAAAGAAAAAAACCTTAGAAAGCATCAAACCTATAATGAGACAATAACATGTGTTTCATCTTAACTTGCATCCTGTTTATTCCTTGCAGACAGCTGTTTTTAGTGTTGCAGTTACATTCCAACTACACGTGTGTCTTCCCATTAGAAAACCAGACCATTCTTAATTTCTGTAAGGTTTTTACAGCTTTAACTCTGTTCACACAAATGAATTAGAAAACAATGAACAGATAGATGCTTAAGCAAAAAAAAAAAAAAAATCAGATATATATCTGAGTCACATAAATATGTCCTTGAATAAAGATTTGTTAACATCATAAAAATCAGTCAGCATGGGATGAATTCTTTTTGCAAAAGAAAAAAAGGGAAAAGGGGTTTTATTGCCTAGGCTGCTTTACCATTAGAGATCAAACAAAAAGATGACTGTTAAGTCTCGTAACTCTGCTGCTCAGGTGATAATCATTATTATCCAGGGATCCGATCCTTCAGCAGCTCACTCAAACAATATTCGCTAAAGGCGGAGAACACATTCAGAGCAATATAATCAGCAAAAAAAAGTATTTCATTGTATTAAGAGGCTGTGTTCTTTTAAAAGTCAACCAACCAAAGACGGGGAAACAGTAAAAGGTTACATGCCTTAGATGAATTCTGATGATCTAGCAGTTTAAACATCCCAAATCCAGTAATTTGCCTGAATTTTTAGCATTATTAATGAGGACTGGGCCATAAATGCATTCAAATACAAAGATCCAGAACAATTTTGAGGTTGTTTCTAATTGTCTTCCCTTTTTTTTTTCTTGTAGGGCAATATTTTTATTTATTTATTGAGAAGATTTTAGGGGGGAAATCTATCACTAATATGTTACATGTTTAGTTTTAAATGCATTCATTATTTTAACTCAAAGTTACATCCCGGGTGTCCTCCTGTGATGTAGTCTGGTTTATAACTCTGAATGAACCAGATGTGGGTATGGGGACCGACTCTAGAGTCGTATATTACACAGCCGAGGGCTTTTCTCCAACCGTTCGAGTTCACTAAAGGTAATGACTCAGAGTTTGAACTCTGAGACTTTGGTTTTTCTTAGAAACTCTGCATGAAGGTTAATCATGTTTTTTTGATTTGCCTTTTATTTGAATGTTTTGACTGCAGAGGGCGACAAGAAACATTTAACAGATCTCTCTCAGTGTGGTGTTTTTTTTATTTGTTTGTTTTTCACTTTATTTTTTTTAACATTGTCTTGTTTAAACTAGGAGGTCATCTGAGTTCACCAGACGTTGCTATGGTTTAGCGGTCTGATCCAAAAATCTGTTTACTGCAATACTGCTATTTCATGTGGTTAAACATTCAAATCAACACTAACATTTTCGTCAAACTCCCTTAGCTATTCATTAACAAGTGCAGCAATGATCTGCTGTTCATCTGTATAAAAGCTACCCTCCTATGTATCTTTTCTTTAGAAAAATAATTGCCAAAATTCCCACATCACATAATTCAAAGCAAGCACTAAGTTTTGATTTGAAAGAAAAATCATCTGCAGCAGGATAATTTGCATTACACAGCCCCATTTGTTGTTGAAGACATGAGTATTTAGTGCAGAAGAAGCATGTTTCATAAATTTTCTGGAAATTTAAACTGTTTGATCCATTTCATGGAATTAAAGAAACAATTCGTCCAGAGGTGAGGCTTAATAGAGCGTGTGGCTGCCAGGCTTGTAAGTTGGAAGAAGAGTAAATATAAAGACATGACTGCTTGTACAAGGCATGGGATATCTTTATGTTCATAGATATCTGGTATTTCCACTGGGTGGGAACAGATGCTTTCCAAGCTGTAATAAAAAGAAAAGTAAGAGTCGGACACCTGGAAATGAGCTGCGTAAATGTTTTACAAGTAGTCGAGATGGTTGTGTCTCATGTTGTTGCACGGAACAATGCTACAAATGTTTTTTATTGTAATAGGAAATGCTAAAGATTGCAGGTAATATTTTCAGCAAATGCATGTTTCTAAAAGATTTGATTTAATTCTGCATTCAGCTTTTACTTGGAAGTGGAAATACTCAAGTTACATCCTGAAAGCCCTGAATTTCAAGTGGGAGAGTTGTAACTTTTTAACTAACCCCAAGATCCACTCTATCTCCAAACAACAGCTGCAATAATAAACTGTTTATTAACGCTACGTATTTTTGTGCCCCACCTGTTAATGAGCATGTTTAAATAAAGATCATGCCAAGTAATGGACCATTACAATATGCTATTGCTATTTGAAAATGTATTGAGGGTTATAGTGTTTTTTTTTAAATCAATTACATCCAATGTAAGGAAAATACTGTCACTGCAACTCATTCTGCTGCTCTTTGTCAAAAAACTGTAGGGTTGTCTAGAGGCAGGGGGAGTAACTTAAGATGCATTCATGGTCTGATCCTGCAGTTGGTTTGTTTGTGTCTTATTGGCTGCTCCTTTTAGAGGTCACAATAACCAGTTATTATGATTCATTCAGACATGGAAATGTTTTTGGTGAGGGTTACCTTCCCAACTAAACTGAGATTTGAACCCAGGGCCCCTGTATGACAGTAAAGATTTAAACAATTTCTACGTGGGGACTTGTTTGGTCCAGTGATTGGTAAAAGGTAGAAAATGTACCATTTCTACAAGGCCAAACCAACTGCAGGTGTTACTAATTGTCTGGGGGGTAGTATGGCTGCAAAGAGATCAAAATAAAACAACAACCAAAAAAAAAGCACGAAGATGAGAGTCTGCCTCATGGGGTTTATTTTGGTAATTCAGCCTTTAAATCTCCAACTGTCCTTCTAATTGCTCTTATGTCAAATCCTGGCTTTCTGTTTTTGGTGCATTGGGACAAGCATGCATTCACACTACACTATGAGGGTGTTAAAAAATGTTCCAAAGGTTTGGTGTGGAATTTCAGAAATCTTTAGTAAGATGAATCTGCAAGTATTCTTTGTCTGCTGTAGTCCCGAGTGAACTTTATTTATCAGCATTTTTATGAGGGACTTAAATCTAACCCTGAAAAGACAAGCAAGGGACATGTGTAAGCAGGTCTAACTCAGGCTGCAGGATGGTTCAGCATTAGGAGAAAGAAGAAGACAGAGGGACAGATTATGCACTGGAGGACACATGTTTGCAAAGCAACACTACTCTACTGCACTTTAGACCAATTAAATAAAAGACATTCTGTAATCACAAAAACATAAGATATAGATAAAAAGTTAAAAATAGATTTTGCCTTCTCAGATTAAAAGACAAAAAACTACAAGATGTTCAATAAAAGAAGAAGCAGCCTATTGACAGTGAATTTGACATGACTATGACAATAACAACATTTATGTAGAAAACACTAATGGAGCAGGTAAAATCTTTGCAAATGAATGGGATAGAGTTTCCATTTTTTAAGGGAGGGGGGCTTTTGTTTCTTAAATATTTAACTTCAGGCAGGAGCCACACTAAATTCTCCCGAGGGCTTTGAAGGTTCCCTGGCGGCCTTTTCCCCCAAATACTATAAGAACTTTTGCTTTTGATTAAAAAAAAAATCTGCTACTGATCCATAAAAAAAACAACATATACTTCTACACAAATCCCACTATTGTTCCATCTTTTAAACCACTAAATAAGGAGCCACTATCCCTAATCCTTGGCTCACTGTCGCTCATTTAAACCCATTCTCATTCAAATATTTTTTTCTTTTGCATTTCGAAAGTTTCTGTTTGATTCAAGTACATTTTCCTTTTTGTTTAACTCACAGTTTCTGTCCTGTTTTGGTTGTACCTTTGTAAAGTATGTGAGAACCACGTCAATGCAGCATGCCAAATATGAAAACACTGCACTAATGATCTAGAACGAAGTAAAAAATTCATAAATCAGGAGTATCTTGCCTTAATTTGAGCAGTTCAATCAGTTTATTTGCCAATGGAATGAGTATTTTTACTCTTCAAATTAGAAAATTAGATAATATTCACTTAAAATTTGACAATAAAATTGTTTTTTCATATTTTAAATTTAAATGTTCTTGTTCCATTGGCAGAGCATCTCACTTATCTCCTCAATTCAAGAAAAATGCACTTATTTTAAGAAAAGAATGACTTATTGAGATTTCATTTTTATGCAGTACAGAGAAGGTAGTGAAAATCATGCTCTGATACATACATTAAATCCGACTGAATCTGTGCATGGAGTTGCACACACCTGCAGGCTTTATTAATGTAATGCCTCTACAATAACAGAGAAAACTTTCCTGTGGTATAGAGCAGAGTCACTTTGCGTCCTGAATTGTCTCATAATCATCCCTGAATGCTTGTAAATCTAGAAACTTCAAGGATGGACAAATCTTAAATGCTCCATTTTTAAACTCATTATCAAAAGATTCAGAAAGTGGAGGGTGTTCTTCTATTGAAAAAAATAAGCATTAAGATTATCCCTGAGGTTGCTAAAAAGGATTGTTGTTTTATTTTAGATGAAAGAGTTGGAAACATGACTGCTTAGCCACGACTGCTTCCTGTTTTTAAACAACAAAACACTCTGTGGTTGATGTCATCCTGGATTGTCTCTTCTTGGAGCTATCATGTGTGCATTGTTTAAGAAATGGGATTTATTTACAGCAAAATATCCCTGTCAAGATAATAAAAGGGAAGTTTAATGCGTCCAAATAGTTGCTAAATGACAATCACATATCTTGTAATTTTCTGGGAATCAGGACGCTTCATCTTTGTCACCTTTACACTGAACCGTTGTATCCATCTGGCACGTTATGTCTGTGTTTTCTCTCTTATCGCTACCTTCAAGGCTGCAGCCGACCCAGCCTTACCCACATCTCATCCCAGGGCCACAGTGCGGGCCCTGCGGGCACTCCAAGCCTTCTTTAAATCATGCCCACCTCAAACACAGACAGTCATCCATATAAGTTGCACCTTGTTTGTGGTAAGACATTGGGAGTTATATTAGGTGTTTTGTGGTGCTCAGCTTTAAGCTTAATTTGTCCTCAGTGGGTGATACTTTCACAAGGAGAGAAACATGGATTCTGCAAACAATAGTGTTTATTTACAAAGGAGAAATGAAAAATTACTGGAAAAAAAGGGAAGTTGTGCATCTACTCATTGGGAGATCACTGCCCGAAGTTGGTCACACCCTTGTCTATTTTTATGTTTGTCTGCAGGTTTGAGGCTGGCAGAGAGCACATGTTCCCCATGGAGTTCTTCTTCCCGCCTCAGAGAACGTGTCTGATTTGCTCCGATGAGGCATCTGGCTGTCATTACGGCGCGCTCACGTGTGGCAGCTGCAAAGTTTTCTTTAAAAGAGCTGCAGAAGGTAAAGTGTTAAAGTTCTTTCTTGGATTCAGAATTTGCCGAGGCACTAAAACACTCCACACGGTATTGACTTGCACACGGAAACCTGCTTGTGATTTATTTTTTTCTATGGTCGACATCGGGAGCTTTCTTCCATTTCTGCTGGAGCATGTTCAGGTTGTTCAGCTAACCCGTGGTTTCTCTGTGTAATCACACAGGTAAGCAGAAATACCTTTGTGCAAGCAAAAACGACTGCACCATCGACAAGCTAAGAAGGAAGAACTGCCCCTCTTGTCGACTGAAGAAGTGCTTCGAAGCAGGGATGACACTTGGAGGTAGGACAGGTTGATGGACTAAATGAGATTCCATCTCTTTCCTGTGAAAGTTTTATCCATTATATGTGAAAAAATGTAATCATAGAGCAAATATAATGTGAACTTCTATTTTAGTGAGCTTTTATGTTAAAGGTCAATATAGAGTGGTCTGTAACTATGAAAATAAAAAGATATAGAGTGCACTCATAACTTCTTTTTCCTATTTAATTAATATTAAATCAGACCAAATGACTCCTGTTTTTGTTCATTTAAATTTGTCAAATCATTTGAATTTACCAAATGCCAGAATAATTAGAGAGGCCTTTTTCTTAAGTTTTAAAAAGCCCATTCCTAAAAATCATGAGATTGTTTGTTAAAGTTTGTCCCATTCCTCCTGGATAAAAAGCTGCATAATTGAGTCAGGTTTGTTGGCACATGTTTTTCACACACTGCCTCTCTTTATCTGCTCCTTCATAAATTTGGTGTTTAGCTCAGGGTCCTGTTCTATTTGGAAGACCCGTTTGTTCCAAGGCTTTAACCATCGGTCTAGGAACGGGAATGTTTTAATTTGAAGGTTTGTAATTCATTGCAGATCTCAATATTGATTTTTTGTTTTTGTTTTTTTATAAACACTTAAATGAATAGACAGAATCCTTTATGAAATTTGATTTTTTACCACCTTTCATATATAAATATCAAACCTGAGAACTTATAGTATAAGTATAAGTATATGTTATGGTTTATTTTAAACATGGGTATAATTTCACAATAGATCTTTATTTCTTACAACCTCAAGAATTTTTTTTTAAAATATGTCTAGTTTTTGATGCTGTAGTTACCTAAAGAGTACTGCGAGCTCCCACTAATGGTTAGCTACCTTAGTTTTGCTATAGTATTATTTACTAGTTATTGGATAAATAAAAGAGAGCAGCTATCTTGACTTTTACATTAGCAGTGATATTGAAGTAACTTCATTACTTCACCTCAACATCTGTGAGAATACCTGTAAATATACATTGTGTATAGATGCTGCTTCTTAAAATATTTATCTTTTTCTGGCATTTTCTGGCCCTTCTGAAATGAATAATTTTTTTTTTTTACAAATTGTGCCAAACTATGAAAAACTTCAGAAATGTTTGACAGCAAACTGCTTGAAGATAGAAGCTCTTTTAGACTTTTTGGCTATTATTGCACAAGTCAGCTCTTTTATAATGTATATAATTTTAATAAATTATAATTTTTTTTGTTTCCCATTCGTGATCAGTAACAATATGTAAGGGTTTATTGTGTCTTGCATGTTGAAGCAAATTCTTTTAAACCAAGGGAACAGATTATTTGAGGGGAGCTGAATTTTATTGCTAGCGCATTTTTAAAATGTTTAATTGATCACAGCCTTAACTTCCACAATCTGCATTCAGCAGATCGTAGCTCCTAGCTCCTCTCCCTTCTCCTTTCTTGGGGTCAAAGGTAAAAACACTATCATTGGTAGGAAAGGAGCTCCTTTTTGCTGTACCTAATTCAGACAACATTTAGCCTTCTGGACATTGTTAGGTAATAGATGGATGATTGTCAAACTGGGACTACAGCAACTACAGAAAGAACTACAGGTCCCAGTTAGGCTAGGAATTGGTAAGATTTTCACAATTACGATTCTCTTATCGATTCTGTGAAACAATGATCTTGGTAAGTGCACGATGACATTCGTCTACCTTCTCCTGGGACTTTCTACTCCTGCCTGCCTCGGTGAAAACAGAAGGCAGCGAATGGGAGCTGCCAGCCTCTGAGCCAGCCAGGCTACACGTCTCATCACAGACATCTAAATCTAATGGAGAAGGCATCTGTTTAATGAAAAAGGATTACTGTACAATTTCAGGAAATAAACTAATCTCCCCCTGATTTAAATAAACGAGCGTCACCTTTCTCTCTCTCCCTGAACTGCGGAGCAACTTCGTAGCATGTTTAATAATCCCAAAGAGAGGTAGGAAACTGGTTTACTTCTAGAAATGGCATATGAGTTACTAGGAACCACATTAAGCACAGCCAATGATATAAAACTAGCTATTTACCACCAGAGTTGACGGCGTTCGTTAAAATGTATGCCATGTTGTGTGTGCAGGTGTTTCTGCATAATTGCCACTCTGCAGTGATTGCAAAGAGCCTCGTTGCCATCTTTCTCTTCCTTAAAATGATGCCAAACTTTTGATTGCTTTACTCGATGGAACGCCATTTTTTAATGTTCTGCTTTTCCAGACTTAGGCCTGGTCACGTCGTACTTGCTTACTGAATGCCGTGTGCGTAACTTACGTAAAAAGCGTGACGTAAGTCATGCTGCCCAGCGCTAGGCTCTGGTGCTGCCTGGAACCGTTAAGAGAATCGTTAAGCGAGTTGCCAAACGGTGCCATGGAATTAGAACACGCGGAACCGGTTCTGAACAGGATTCCAATCCCTAGTCCCAGTGCTAAATAAACTATCGATAGGAAGTGCCCTGCTTCGTTTTCCAACCTCCTTCCTTGCTGCCAGTACTATTCGGATAGCACTTAACATGGCAGCCGTTGACTGACATTGGCATTGAGAGTAATTACCGATGTGTATTCAGATGGAACCCCTATCTATGGATGCATCTGCACTTCCTGTGCTTTTTTCTTCATTGTTGTTCCTGAGTTACTGCTTTCAATCAGTAGATTGAATCTAAATAATTATTTAAGTCGTGAGACCTCCTTTGCATGAATTAGCCTCATGAAGAGGGTTACGCTAAGCAGACTTGTTATTTCTTTCATTAAAGTTAAGTCATTGCTGTTCAGTCGCTTTTTCTTGGGTTACTGGGTCAGTGGAATCGAAACTTGGAATATAAAAAAATTAAATCAAGAAATTCTGGGAGAATCTCGGTTGCAGTTAATTCTCTAGACTCAATCCCCAACCTTCCTGCTGGCTCATGTCTTGAAATATTGCTTTCAGTATTTCCACATAATTTCCTTTTCTCGTGACTTTCAGCAAAAAGTCCTTAGCCGCCTTAGCAACCCCCACCCCATCCTGGCAATATGAAGATGGTTATGTACAGGCATTTCAATCTTAGTTTCATCATAGCACTGATCATGCCTCCAAAGGCTATGGGTTGTATTCTTGATGATATTTTCAGACTGTACTGTAATCCAGCTTTTTGTGTTCCAAAAGGAGTCAACGCTTCCTCTTTTCATTCTATTTCAGCACAGGATTTATTTCACTGCGCTCTCAGCAGCTTCAGTTAGCATTTCCACTAGTTATTTAGCTTTTGTTCTGGGGTTAATATACCCATTTCACACAAAAAAACACTCATCCTTGGGAAATAAAACTTTTCTTGGTCTCCACAAGATGACAGCTGGGCATTCCTGGGGTTTTTCATTTCAAAAGAAAGCATTTCAGTTGTCTTCAATCAACAAATGTGCTTCTAATTAAAAGTATTTATGTGAATTAGTAATCTTAATTCATCCAAACTTCTAAAGTTTAAACAAAAACAAAAAAAAGGAAAAACATTTACCTTGTTGTTTTTGCATTCAGTAAATAGAAATTATTGTCGTATTCAGTAAAATAGCTTCTTCTCCTGCTTTTAGTATATAAGATGGTAACACACACAAATAAGACAGTAGAATGACACTACTCCATACCTAAGCATAGAAGGGACACCTCAGCAGGATTAAGTAACTTTAAAGCGATTATAAGTGGGAGCCATGCAGTGAGACATACAGCTTTAAAACGCTAAATAATGCATATGCCTATCTCTGTCATTGTGAACCCACCCTTCATGTTGAAAATCTACTGAGGTTTTACCAGCTTACCCGCTGTGACCATATTATAAATATAAATGTCTAAAAAGTACTATAAAGACCTTAACAGATGCTGCGCAGCAGTTCCTAAATGAACAAAGACCACTACAAAGAAAGTGAAGTCCTAAAAGTGAAACTATTAGTGGTTTTCCAAGACCAAGTACTTTATTCTCTGCACTGCACATCTCTGCTGGTTCTCTTCAATTGCAGCATCATCACAATAGGGGATGTTACTGATAATCAAGCCCCTGGCTGAGCTGCCATGCAATTTAGACCTCTTCCATTCACTTCTCCTTACTGTCACCCAGACCTGTTCGTCAAATTAGTCTGTAAAGATTGACATGTAGTGGACTAATTTTGGTCTTGTGTTCAATTTTCACTCTCTGCCATTTTCTCATTCAACTAACGGTGAAAATTGTGCTGGAGGCACAAAACTGACACGAGACATGTGAATTAAAGCTACAGACATGCTGGTAATTTCACCACCAGTCACTGACAAACCCTGTGGAGGGAAAATGTGATCTAATGCTGTGATTGTAGTAAAAAGGCGGCCCTTTTCCAGTTTTGGCTTGAAAGATCCTTTCACTTATGTTCTCATCATGGATGTATAATTGACTCCCAGCATTTTACCGGGAAATTTAAGGATATGAAATTGGGAAGTGACAGCTTTAAACGCTTTGTGTGAAAAAGATTTCTTATTTAATAACACGGAAGGTTAATAACTTAAAATAAGACCCCTGATCTTTTGTTGGTTTCGGTTCAATGAATTATACACTGGATAAAAATGTGATCCTATCATTGACAGCTCTGGTTTCTGTCTGAGGATGAGCAGAAAAATCTTTTATCATCATTGCCATCAGTTTTAGACCAAGGCAGCGATTTTAGGAGAGATGTCTGAACTATCATTTTAAAATTTTATCTAGAAAATTTTTATCACTTCCACATCTGCTGAGCAATAAAAAAAGTTAATGCAAGATGTGCATATCAGCTGTTTTTTTTTTTTTTTTTTTTTTTTTTTTTAGTGTCTATATTTTATAGATATCTTCATCCTTCTATACATACATACAGACAGACAGATAGCTTATAAATAAATAGACAGACAGACAGACAGACAGACAGACAGACAGACAGACAGATAGATGATAGATAGATAGATAGATAGATAGATAGATAGATAGATAGATAGATAGATAGATAGATAGATAGATAGATAGATAGATA